AAAATCAGTAACTGTGCCTTTCGATTCCAATCACTGGATTAAAATAGTTTTGGGAACATACGAAGGTACCTACATAATAACAAGCACAGTTTTCGAAGTTATTTATAGACATATAAACTTTAGTAACCTTTCAGAATTCCTGATCTAAAATAAGCACTAACATTTAAACACTACTTAGTATTCAAAACATTGTACAATAACCAAAAATGGTCCTCTAACTCTGACGTAGCAGTGTGCGAATTCAATACTTTTTTATGCATTTATGGCCATTCATCCTGTTCACATACGCGTTTGACATACTAACATCTCTCAAAATGTACAAAATAATGAATGCGACATCCGAAAACAATTTCTGTGACAATGTTCCTGCTTAACTAACGTTTGTTTGCAAAATATGAACTTTGTTCTATCTAAAGATGGTATTGAAACATTTGCTAACTATACAATAACAAAATTGTTAGGCAAGGTGATTGTACATATCAGATATTGAAAAAAAAATACTTTTTTAAGTTTTTATAACATTTATCTATCTCTATGTTTATACATTTGTACACTTTAGTGAAATTAATCTACTAAAGGTTTTTTCTTTACAAAGTCTATAATTATTCCGTTCTCGTGCTCAGGTCGCCATGCAATGGGAGACGTGTTGTTGTTCTGAATAACTTTAATCTTTAGTAATGTACTTTATGTGTCTTAATAACTAACTTACACTACTTACTTATAGGGCGAGGTGTCACATACTACATAAGAAAGATAATTTTATGTCACGAAAATGGCCCAGTAAAATATATTCTGCTTGATTGCAAAGCCGCAGGTAAAAGTTAGTATAAATATTCAATCTTATACTTACGAGAAAGGTCTCGTTTCCGTGCCAATAGATACTTAACATATTTATATGCAAGAGAATATCATTTCGTACTTTGCATTCTACGCTTGATCACAGTTCCTGTATCGATTTATTTTGTGTCGGTCCCATCGATAATCGTAGCGCCAAAGTCTCGATTAATATTATCATGTTTTCATAGTCACGAATTATTCTGGAATTAATGAATACAAAAACACTATGGTATTGACCTTCGAATCAAGGTTTGTTTGTTGTTTTTTTGTGTTTATGTATCTTTGTTCGAGAGTAACATAATATTATTCAGTAAAATGAACAAATAGATACTTTATTTTGATATGGTTAAAGTATATTTCAAAGTAATCGATTGTGTTGGTATAGTTTTAAACAACAATAGGCTCAATAGTTTTGATACCATCAAAGTTTACGCAGTATTAACAATACCCGTCCTAATTTGAAACAACACAACAGGTGCTACATTTTCCCATATTCACAATAGACGAGCCTAGGGTTAGCTCTTTTCAGACTATAATAGAACACTATAGTTAGACGAGCACTAGGCGTATCGTGGAACATAATCCGCTTCAAAAAGCCTGCACCGGACTAAAATTGGCTCCAAATAGCAGTAGGAAAGTCACAAAGCCACTGCAGAATAAGAGAACGATAAACTAGCAAGCAGAAAAGACAACTATAGAAGTAAAATGGTTAGATTTTACGCACAATATTGTTATTATCACAGAATATCTTCTTTATATGTTATGTGATTATTAGAGGTATATTCCTTTTTTTAATTTATTTCTTAAGATATACTTTAATGACATCTTTTTCTTATTAAAGGATATAATAATGTCCCCAACTCTCTGCTATTCCATATCTTTCCTGCATACCATCGACCCATTTGCATTGGGTTAAACTTATTATCTTTCTATTCTTAAACCATAAATCAGTATAATTCTGAAGGTATAAATCTAGATTTACAAAATTTGTCAAGCGAGATGATTTAATATATCATTGCGTCGTGAAATAGAGCGGATACCAGCGCAAAGAGCAGTATTTGCATTAACCATGAAACCACAGAAGGGAATGGTTTTTACTTTCCCCGAAGACATGGTGGCGTCAGTCCCCTGCAACTAACATAAAAGCGGTGGCCCAAGTTTTAAGTACACTTCTCTAAGTAAGTTTTTCCCTTATATCCTTAATGTACAACCCCACAGGCGAAACTACTGTGAACCACAGGGGCTTAAAGAGAAATATATTATTATGTTCCTTTATTTGATTTTTTTGTACTCACAACGCCTAACTACTTGAGATTTTGGATTTGAGCCCATTCGCGTAGGTGTTGATATAATTTAGTTCAAAGATGGGTGTTTTGAGAATTAGAAATGCAATAATTTACATGGAATGGAAGATTTTGTCTGATACAAATACGCCTATTAAATATTATTCCCATTTATCACAATAACGAATCTTGATGACAAATCTGACGACCATTAACATTGATTCTTTCCGTATTACGAACAAACATTCCAATTTTATTTATCTGTATCTGTATAGATCATACATTCTTTAAAGACACCATAAGAAAAACGAACGCCAAGAAACGAACAGCAGAAACATTAAAATAAATAAAAGTCAAGAGATTTAACGTGAAACATAAGGAGTCCTTCAATCGTCCTTAAGAACCCTTAACATACGGAGTAGGTACCAGCATCCAAGATAATGACGTACGTTTGCCTAATGTCTTGGAAGTTACAAAAAGCCATTTGGATCACTTGACTTCTTCATTTATCAGCCATATAGCTACCGGGGAACATGTCTAGAGAGATCTAATTACTACTTTCAAGCTGTTCCTACCAATCTAGGATGATAGTTTTTGTTGAGAAGATACGCTATTGATTTCTCTTCTGCTATGGTTAATGTGGATTTGTCTGGTGTATCCATTATTAACATGCAATTACAAACTGTATTGCTTTTGTGTAAAGTTCAAAATGATTTTTGCGTATAACCATTGCAATGACGAAGGTCATAAAATTAATTCGCATCCCATGAATATGTATTCCACTCGTATCTTTGTAAATAAAGTCGTAAAAATTAAACATGTTTTATGAAAAAGTTTTTAAATAATGTTCTTTCTATTCTAAAAAGTTCTTGACACCGATTTTTTGTTAGCAAAAGTTGGTGAGTAGAACATCTAATATAACTTTTTAGACAGTATATTACTTACATAAAAAACTGAGATAAGTGAGCCTTACACTTTGTTAAAATATAAAAAGATTTTGTTTTTGAAATATGGAGTCCCTATAGGACCTTACTCCATACTCAAAGAATTCTGCTAGATATTATTTTAGGTATATTTTACCAGCGATTTTCTGAAAGTATTGTGGTATTTTTGCATATTTTTAAGTAATAAAATATAATGAAAATCATCAAGACTCCTCACAATTCATTGAATATTTTTGCTCATTAATCCTCAGCGGATAATATTAATAATAAACTTCTTGACAGAGTAATAGCGACAAGACTATAAAGGTAATTGAAAAATAAGTAAATAACTTGCATACTGCACCATAGACGCTAAAGTCTGATGAAAATTCATTAATTAAACACGGTAAGAATATTAGTCGCCGCCTGGCAAATAGTACTAACGAGTGCAGACGCCAGCAGGTTAAGTTACACCTTTCTGTCTTTTCTTATTTATTACATTTTCGTTTTGATATAAAATCGAAAATCCAATGAAAAAAATGTACCTACAGATTGCAGTAGGCTGTACAAAATACGAAGTCTTTGCCCAAGAAGTTTCCTCTCACTGAAAATAAATGAAGCGAATTTAAACTTTGCACACTTGACTCTGCTAAGACTTTATCCACAAACTTGTGGCTGAAACTATCTAAATTTACACAGACTTATCTTGACTGTCAGATTAATTGAATTTGAAGGAAATATTTAGGCCTAGGGACAGATATCTTTGAATATATCAGTCTTAAGCAAAGAGCTAAGTATTTAAGTTGATTTTGGTAAATATATTTTGTTTATCAAAGTTATTATATTGATATTATTGTCAACACGGTGATAAATGGTGCTCCTACCTAACTTCTAAAAGGAGGGTTATTGCAAATAATATTACGGTTATACGCTAATCATGGTCTGAGGATCGGATCTGATCAGTTTAATTATCATCACGACACCAATGAAGCTGTGGCGTAACATTTTTCACCCCTCACAAGTAATAATATTCCTAAAATTAGTTAACCCTTTCGCATAATTTGGTTTGCCGAAAAAGGACGCTATGAAGGCTGAGAGAGCATTGAAAATTTTGATATCGGACGGTTTACCTGGCTATAAAAAGATAGCTGAAGGGCGTCGACCTATTTTATCGGATATATTAACTTATTACCAAGTGGTTGACCGGCCCTTTAGATTAAAATGTTATTATAAAAACTGCTTTTCAACATAAATAAGTTGTTAGAAACTTGCAACAACGTACGTATTAATTTTTGGAGTCTTTCAATCATTTATAATGCTTAAAAATAATTTATGATACTCCATCTTTTGTTTTGGACGTTTTGAGTTGTTCAACCATGCTTAAAATGTTGTTGAGCCGTATTTCATAATGACTTGCGAATTAATTAAATAAAGAACAAAGTATAATTATTAACTCATTTCTGAGTAAATAGGTAATTATTTATTAGGACAAAATTATATCGTAGCGTGAATTTATTGCTTTAAGAAAATGTGGGGATTTATGTTAGGCCTTCGCTGTTAGAATTTTTAATGAATTTACATTTAGTCTAGTATCATTGAAATCAATCTTCGATTTGATTTTGTGTTACTAATGAGTCCATATTTTTCTTTAAAAATAATATTATTTATGTTCAAGTTTTGTTTCAGCTTCTGTAAGCCTTTAGGCGTGGTCTAATAGATAGGTTGCTATGGCAACAGATCAGCCTATCTTTACGTTTTTCTTAATTATAAATCGTTATTTTGTGTAGAGTTTTAAAAACAAAGTTATCGATGTTACTAGGGTGAATTTTGATATTTATTTTGGAGTCGATGTGTGATGTTACGATGTTGTTTTGTTTGGTTTGGTTTTAGTGATAATGTGAGATGAGTGAAAATTAAATGTGACTTGTAAATGAAATGTAAATAATGTTTAACTTACAGTTTATACCGTGATCCAGTAGATATGTTGAGAAAATCTGTAACAAATAAAAATTCATAAGTCAGTAAGTAAAAGGAGACGAATCATCGTCAAGGTTAGGTTCAATTTCGACCAGAATCAGCTCAAAAAGCCATGAGACCACCACAGACAGACTCAATAGGGCTGATGTCGATACGGAGCCGCGAAGGACTTAACGGGTTGCCAGTTGCCGGGGCTCCGGCTTGAAATGCCGGAGTAGGAAAGAGGTGGTGGGTTTTAGTCAGTAAGAGTCTGACACTCCCAAGTAATTAGATCATTTTCTCTACCTCAGTAAAAGAGGTTAGATTCAGTGGTAGTACCTAATTGTACTATTTGGTCTACGCAATATTAATGCTAGGCTCTAAGTTTTATCACAAAAAGGCAACTTATCGTAAATCATTTCTTAGTATTACAACCTCATAATACAGTCAGTCCCTTAATATTTAAGTCAAGAATCCCAAGTCCTAGACTAGTAAGACATAGACTGATTGATAAACTTAACGTAACTTTATCTCGACCCAAGAATCGAAGTCACGATACTCATAAATATGATTCTAAGCACGCAACACATAAACGGTAACATATTACATTATTCACTTGAAGTTGTCATTTAGTCCCTTCTGTGTTTACTAACGGCTTTATTGGCCTGACCCGTCAGTTAACGTCACTGGCAAATGGTTGAAATTTGTCCAAACTTTAGATCAGTTAAGTAAACTGTCCTCTACCGAAATTTCCAGCAACCGCACATCAAGCTATACAATCCCAATATAAGTTGAGCCGCATTTCTATTAAAAGTGTTTGTTATGCCAGGTCAGGTTATAATGGTTTTGTAAATTTATGTGCTGTCGTCTTTACCTTGTTCCATTATTTTTCCTTATTCAACCCGGTTTTGCTGAATAACCCTTGTACCGAATTTAAGAGATTTATTCGCGTTGACCTTAACTTGTAAGGGCTTAGACGTAATACGTCTGATTTTTTGCAATGTGTGTCTGATTTTTGGATTAAGGGTAAGGGTATAAGAAAAGGTCCCTTTGGGGTTGTTTTTAAGTCCCTCACTGGTATAAATGTGTTGATAGCATAGTAGGTTTAAACTTTTTATTACCTTATTATTGTTCTAGCGATTGCAAATGACCGGTAATAAGCATTTGAGTCTAATTTCCATTTCAAGTATTTTTTTCATTGCATTTGAAATTGTATTTACAATTTTAGAGTGCTGTTTAATTCTACGTAGTCTTTAAAACCAAGGCTATTTCGTTATATAGTCACTTGTTGTCTGTAGGGGTTTGCTCCTATTTCGCATGGGTACCCAACTGTACTGACGTCACTACCATGTCATTTGTTTTGTTAGCGGCCCACCATGACATCGAAAGGATTATTTTCCGATTTGAATAGCTTTAAAATAAAGCGACCTCCAGAAGCTGATCAATATGATGAATATTCACCGAATCAAGAAGCTAGTTAAGTCAAGCAATCTTTCCAAAGAAAGCTTCAAGAGATTGGCACAAATTACAATGAAATTGGACGTAACTTGAGTTAGTTTGGCTTGTAGACTTAATAACATGTGCGATTGGCAACCGTCCCAAATGTTGCCAGTCAATCGATGATTATTATTGGAAGATTTATTTGGCGAATTATCTTTACGAATATTTGATTAAGCAAGAAAGAATCTTTGCTTTTACTTTTATCAAAAAAACATCTTCACTGGAATAATTTTATAAAATAGGTTACATAGTTAAGATGTTATACAAATGGTAAAGAAGCCTTCAGGTTTCCAAATTTTTTGTTATCTCCTCTCTTCACACATTATACACACGACCTCAATCTGAGTCACTTTTATAGGGTTTTAAAGTTCACATTTTATACCCTCCAATGAAAACAGGAACATTTTAACATGCCACTGTTACGAAAATGGCCAAATTGCTTACGAGCAGTAAAAGGTTATGTTAATTTTATTACCGCCCTACGCTCATTTCAATTTGATGTTCCTCTTTATAAATGAGACTTTATCTGAAATTATATGTCTTTCCGATCTTAATCACGCAAAATGCAAAGTGTGAGCGCAACAAGGCTGAACGCTTTTGGTCCAATTTCATGCTGGGCGCGGTGAAATTAAAAAAAATAAATGTTTGCCGGTAACATTTTATCGTTATTGTTTTCATTCGTGTGAGTTTCATTTATTTAGGATTTCTTCTTATCGTATTAAAAATAATGTTACGTGAATTATTATTGTTTACTTTTCTCAAATAGCAGTAGGTACCTACTTATTGGTTTTATTTAATCATTGTTTAGCTGACGTACAAGTATCTACCTAAGTGTGTTGTGAATTTGATTCTATTACTCACGAGTTGACCTAATTTTAGTAATGAGTATCAAATTTCTTTTCACAGCACTCGACAAGATTTCTAATTTGTAAAATTGCCTGTTTTCTTTTCTGTTATGGCACAGAAGCACGAATTACAATTTCCTTAAATTTGTTACTTCCAAGATTGGATTCTGTTCGAAGTAGGTCTGTGTCATTATCCACTCAGTTACAAGAGTCATTCATCGAAAAAGCTTTTTTTACGCCAGTTTCGTAAAATATGAAATATTGTTAGCACGTCCAGACAGCGTAAAATCTAGGTCGTACCCTGTCATCTAATACATTGGCTATATTAATAGTCGGTCCATTCTCGCACGATTCTCGTCTGGTCTCGTTGATGACATTTGTTATGGAACCATTAGGAAATTGAGGAGATTCCAGATCTGGTCGCGGCGGTATTAATGTGCCTTTTATGGCCCCTTCGTCATTTTCATGTATTGCCCAAATAAATTACGTAGAGGGTATATTTCTGTTAAGGGTCATTAGGTCTGAATTTTTAATTTTATCTTTCAGTTTCTTGATTCTGTTTAAAATAAGGTTCAATTTACCTTATGAGTGGGTCTTTTGTTGTCATTGTGGGGAGATTTCCTTGTTAAAAGACTACCGTATTGTGTGGAGTGGATTGTGACATTTTCTGATAACGATCGGCTGTTTTGTCAAGGACACGTGCCTATCTACGGCGAAAAGGGATACTTTTATTTTTGTGTCATGGGAACTGAAATATATACAATGGTTCTGCTATGTTTGTGCTAGCTATTCATTAGTTAGTATTTTAATCGTCATCATAAAAATGTCTAACAAAGAGGCAGAAGATGAGAAATCACCTTATTGTAATTGTCGGTCTAGAGTGTAATTAATAACTGCGATACCAAAACTTTAACAAAAATGGTTGACTTTTCCATCGCCGCACATTATTACCTGAGGAAAGATTTTAAATATTCGACAATTTTTTCAAACAAAAACTATCAAATGTCAATTTTATTCAACAGTTAAGAATTATCTATTGTAATTTGGCCCAATAATACTCACTATAAATAGTAAATTAGACCCATATAGAAGATATTTATAATTTGTTTAAATATCTTCCTATAACGTTAATGTAAGAAGTTGAATGTTTAAAGTTCAAAACGTGTGTTCCGATACAAAGTGTAACATTCCGCAGTGAGCAGTCATTACAATAAAGATATTAGAAGCATCGAGAACATTTACCTTTGTAATGGCGTAGAAACGAATTGAATATATAAGTAAGAGGTAACTGGAAGTATGGTTGAGATTGCTCAGGGTTTAAAGCAAAAATATACTGGTGAACATTGTATGAAATAAAAATTCAATTTATTTTTGTCTTCAAAATGTTGATTTACGTTTATGTGATATTTTATTGTTTATTTTTCTGTTTGTGTTCAAAAATGGAATGTTCATTCCACAAATATTGTTTGTTGTTGTCGTGTGCATAGTCTGAATTCATTTAATTTTTTTAATAAGTCCTCATATTTTGTTAACGTTAATCGATCCTTACTGAAGTCAGATTTGAGCTTATAAAACGGAGTGATTATGGTAAACTTTTGCCAAATGTCATCGCCTTAATGCCTACCAAACACAAGTCAATGAAAAACTTAACCAAGTAAATATATGAATATTTAAATCAAGATGATTTACTCTACCGACATTAAGCTTCCGCGATTTTTGTAATTACACTTTAAAACAACTTCTTTCGAAGACTGGATAAAGTTAGGCTCTCAAAGTAATTTTATACAATGAGAAGCACAATGAGGCTAATTTCGTAAGCAAGATGACGAAGCGGGGAGCTCAGTTTAAACAAATTCTCAGTCCCTACATTGTAGGCATTCCACAAATCTGTTCCCTCGTCGCTACTAGTCATTTAACTCAAAAAGAAAATGATTAAATAGAAACGAGCCGGGAATATTCCAGTCTTGGTATTTCTAGGTATCTATGTTAATATTCAGCGAAGTGGCCGACCGTAACATAACAAACTGTAGGTAGGTAATCCTAAAAATTACAACATAATAAATCACTATCACGATTTTTATATTGTTTGATTATTTTTTAACGTTTATCTTGTATTGATTAGAATGGACTGCAGCACTTTGATGTTTGTAGTAGCACGGTAATTCACTGTGGTAGTAGTGTACAAAAACTTGTTCGCAAATCATTCAGTTATTTAAATACCTACATACTTAGGTACTTAATTGTATTCAAACTTTAAAAAAAAACTTTATTATAAATGCTAAACCGAATCGGCATTTCTGCAATATTCCACATACAAGTGTTGTTTTTCTATATAAAACGATAAATTGAGCCATATGATTTTAGGCAGATACGATTTTTTGTCACTAGGTACTACGTTTCGTCCTTTCGATCAGTCAGATCTGACAGTAATAGTAGCTTGTTCGCCATTTGGGAACGTTAAAAGGGATTAGTTTTCCCAAATACAGGAGTATCCCGTGGCTTAAGAAATAACAGATTACGATAGGCGGCGAGCTGGCAATACATTCAGGCTCAGCGGGATACGAATTAGTATCGGAATATGATTAATAGATTATCGGATCGAAGGAAGAGATTCTATGGAAATAGATATTACTAGAAAATGACCAGTAATAAAATATACGTAGTTTTCTAGATGTTCTATATTTTGTTGCAAT